TAATCCTCAATGTTCTATAAGCAATTAGATCTGTGAAATTCAAATTGATGTTCTTCAGCTCATTTATGTTTAATTTGCTAAGGGAAGCCTTTCTTCCCTGGAAAGAGGCATCCCGCCTCCTGAAGCTCCCTAAGTGCCTCTTTTGCCATTGCACTGCATCAGGAAAGGAAATCCCACAGCCTCCTGCCTGAGATAAGCGCACATAAGCTCCCTAAATCTAACAGATGTCTCTACCTTTTAATCTGATCTGGGGAGCACTTTTTATAGTCTAAAATATTTGGCTAAGGAAGAACTTCACTACATGAGGGACACCCAGAAACCGTGGATGGTTTGAGACTGCCTGTGCTGTGAACCATCTCCTCCGGCTCTGCCTGCACCAGTGTGACCAGCATTCCCTAGGAGAGCATGGGAGTGTGCAGCTGGCCAGGGAACAGTCTGCCACTAAAGGGAAGAGCTCTGGACACCTCACACCTTCAAATGTCTCACTCTTTCCTCCTGGCAGGACCCAAATGCCTTACAGAGTAAGCTTGTCTACAAACAGTAAAGAAGCTTTTACTTCTAACACACACAATTCCTCCAAAGCACCATTGTGGGAATTCTTTAGGCACTGGTAAAGGAGGCTACAAGCTCAGTTAAGATTTGCACACATATAAATTGCCTTTAACAGGAGACAGTGTCTAAACCACATAGGAAAACACATTACACCCTTTAGAATTAAAACCATCACGTCCAGCCATGGAAAGCTCTGATATATTCCAAATAACTTCTGGTTTATGTGAATTACCAACATGCTTATAGAAAAATGGAAAACTAAACTACAGTTTGGACTGGTGAACCCTTGGATAAGTCATTACATACATATTCTAGACCCAGCGAGTGAGACAGGAAAGAGAAACAAATTAAACCAAAGTTGTTAACTTGATATTTAATCACACTGTCCTATACGTTCCTCTGGAACATCAGTAGACAAAGGAAGGTAACAAAGATAAGCCAACCATTAACTGCAGTACTCAAAGTTTCATGATTGAGGGTAGCATTTTTTAACAGTCTGGACATTAATGGAATGTGAAAATACTGAAACCCAGACATTGTGATATATCCTGAAAGCACCAGTTCCACTCCAACTCCACCAAGAAGTTTGGCTCCATGCACAGCATACACTTGCAGATAAGCTGTTTCAGAGAATCTGAGCTTAGTATTGCCCCAGCTGTAAATACCAGGCTGATAGAAAATCCTGGGATTAGCTTAGACCTGCTCATATCAATAGGCTGGGAAGAGTTGACAGGTAAGGACAGGTCATGCAAACCTAGTTCATTTAACACTGACTATTTGCTTCTGCTAAACTTAGAATTATTTTTTGAAAGCATTTTTCTTTTCTCAATGTCTGCTTCTGCTGAGAAATTCCAAGGGCCAGCAACTGTCAAGGAGGTATTCCATGAGTGACACCACATATACACAGATGAGGGATCCAGAGCTCCAAAAAGATGGGTGTCACTGAACACCCTTGCCATTGTGATTTGTGCTGACATGTAGTGTATCAGGGACAAAAATGCAGGAGTCCTTTTACTTTCTCCTCCCAGTCCACTGTTCCAGCTCTGTCATAAAGCTGATGTCCTTTGTTGTCACTAATTACACCTGTGCAATTAATTAGGGTCTGTGCTGAAACACTCCTACTGCTCTCCAGATTCCTTTCACTGTACACAGGTGGTCTTCATAAAGACTGACCTAACTACTCTGCTGGGAAAAAAATATGAAGTTCTGTAAAAGCAACCTAGACTAAAAGTTATCTCTCTGCCTCAGAATAACCCAGTCAAATTGACAGGCAACTTGTGCCACTGAGGCCAGGATAAAACTACTTGTCTTTCACACCTTATGGATTTAGTGCCTATGTCTGAAACTCAGGAGGCAATTGCTTGTAATTCAGCTTGCTGCCCAAAAGTTAGGATTATTTGAAGTGACCATGAATTGTTAAGAACTCATTAGATGGATGCCTGTTTAATACATACAGGTATAATTTCCATCACTTTTTTTTGCAAGAAAAGCAGATCTCACGATTTATGAAAACATTTATTGAAAGGAGTATTAATCCCTCTGGGCCCTAATAAATGCTTTACAAGCCCCTAAACAGATGAGACCTTTTTCACAGCTTAAGCTACCCCAGCTAATTGCATTTTCTCAGTTCACCACTGGAAGATCTCACGGAGACAACTGAGTGGGTTCAACACCTCAGTGTGCAGAAAGGCTGGTTACCTCACCTTTATTTAGTGTGCAGAGAATTGTCATCGTGACTCATGCTCCAAACCAGCACCAACACACCATTACAGCTGGAGAAACATCTTCAAAATAAAATTCCTGTTTCACAGGGCTCCTTCCCCCCCCAGCTCTGACCAAATGAGATAATTATGTTTTGACTCCAGAGAAAAAGGTAACGTTTCATGTGCTTTCATCTAAACATTAGTAGTACCTTGAGCTTTCAGATCTTCTGCAAAGTGAAATTTCTTTTGCTCTCTGCTCACAGATTCTTTCTGATTTTGCCTGTTATTAAGAATATTAACTGTTGTTCATTAAAATTAATACTGAAATACTAAATAACTATACAGTAGAATGTAATTAACATAGCACTAAAACTACTTAAATAAAATTACTCTATTACCCAAATTGTGAGCTTTTCAAACACCCTTTTGTTTAGATATTTCTAAAAAAATTAAAGATTCCATCATTACCGCTTGCATTCATGCAATTGTTACTCATATTCAAATTGGATTTTGCCCCAGAAGGTACAAGCTAATTCAGGAATTAAAAACCTCACTTCCAAATTCTCACATAATTATTTAGAAATTACTGCTGAAAAGTCAGTTTATTTTTAGAAAGTTATCACGTATCTTTTCCCCAAAGAATCAAGGACTTAATCACTGCATTCTTTACAAACTGTGCATGATTTGATCGCTTCTCTGAAGAAGCAGTTTCTGCTATATCTGTCTTTTGGGATTTAATTTGCTCCTTAAGGCATGCTGAAACCAGTTCTTCATGATAGCAAACAGGACTTGCATGAGCCCTGGCGTGGACAGCAAACACACACATTCCCAGGAGCAGCTCCCTGTGACACAAGGTCAGCTCCCAGCCCTAGCTCACCTCCCCGAACCCAGTTCTCTTCCACCACACCTGCCATCTCAGAGGGCTCAGGTAATACTTGAGCACTCTCGCAGAGGAGAGGGATCAGGCTGGGCTGAAAGCTTTTCATGCAAGTTCAGACGTGTTTCTGCTCCTGCAATGCCAGGCTGAGCATCTCTGCCTTCCTTTCAGCAAATCCCACAGCAATTCACTGATGGAGGCAGGGATAGGAGGGACCAGAGTGGTGCAAAGAAAGGGGGAAGGGCAAAAGAGAGCTAAACAGGTAGAACACCCCTGACTTCAGAACTGCATGACCTGAAGTATTCTGCTGTGCATTCAGAGGTGTGACTGCAAAGGATCATTTTAGCTGAAAAAAAATATCTTGTAACATACTGTAGACAGAACTTTCAGTAACTGTAACTGTATGCTTAATCTTGGGAGCAAAATTAGGCCTGTGCTGAACTCTAGAAAGTTGCAGAAGTAATTTTGAATTATCTTTCAAGCTGGCCAATTTAACTCAGTTTATAAAGGGAGGGCCCAAAACTACCATGTCCTAAAAGTAAGAATGCCTTGATGCAGTTAGGGAGGCAATTAAGGAAAGACTGAAGAATTAATTTTTGCGTATAAACTGCCTGGATGGCCCACTGACCCATAAATGTGCCTTCAGCAGAACACAGCAGGCTGCTGAAGATGGCAATACCCCAATTCAAGACTAAAATAGGATTAGAATCTTTAATTTGCTTAATCTCTTCAGCACAAAACTGCATTTCATGCCCTGTGTCTTTAAGTGAGATATAACATTCATTTGCCACATATAGCTGTTATTAATCTTAATTTCTTCTTATTATTTCATGACTTAAGGAAAGACATGAAAAAGATGAGGGTACTTTGCATGTTTGTAATGGGTTGAATAGAACTTGCAAAGCTTCAGAATTACCAAGTGTGTTCCTGCAGATGTTTGTGCACATGCAGAACTCAGGGCACACAAGCAGCACTGGTCTCTGACAGGCCCTCAGTAACCCCACAGCTTTGGCAGGGTCAGGACTGCCAGGCATGTGTAGCACAGGACTCATCCAAGAGACACTGAAATACATTCAATGAACTCCTATCTGCTAACTTGAAAACTCATTTTCATTATTAGATATTCGCACCCCATGTGCTCCTATTAACAGGCACTGCAGGCTTTCACTATTAGCTGCTACTAAAATAAACACAGGAAGGAAAATACAGCCTTGTATAAATAACTTGCTTGAGTGTTGTGTAGCAAAGCTGTCTGTTATTGCCTAGTGCAAAAGACACACCTCACAACATTAAGCCAGCTGGTTATAGTGACAGCACGGTTCCAAACATCCATGAAGGAGAGCTTTAGGAGCAATATGGAAAGATCAAATTCAAAGCCCCCTTCCCATCAAGAGCTTGGCTGGACAGAGTGGTTTGTTGTTCTAAAAGGTGCCATGGAATCTTTAAAAAACAAAATCAATTAGCATTCCGGATTTCTAACTGATCCTGAGGGTGCTTAATTGATAGCCCCTTTAAGAAGGCAAACTTTATCTCCCTGTTTTCTGATCAAGAGCTGTAATCTACTAGGGATCTTCTTTGGCTGGGGGAGCCTAAAGGAAAGAAAACAACCAAGGAACTTGTCTTTGTGTTTTGGTAGAAGCCAGAGAAAGCTGAAGGCAAGGCTAGGGGCTGAATAGGAGCAGGAATAACTTTTCATTACCCCATGGGATAAATAACTCTCAAGAATGGGCCAACAAGGCCAGCAAGGGACTGCAAAGCTCCATTTTCTCTCAGAAAGAGAACTATCAGTTTTAACAGTGGAAGAGGTACTACAATGAGATTCTATGTCCCCATTTTCCATTGCTTTGTGAAAAAAATAGATATTTTACCTGTAAAATGCTGCGTTGACTTCAAATCTGTCTTCTGTGTCAAAGTCAGCATAAAGGCCTGCCACAGAAAATACTCTTGTCTGTATTCATGTTATGGGAAATGAGTGTCTGATTATTAGTTTATGGATGAGAGATTGTTAGTTTATCAGTGTCAGAAGTTGACATGAAAATGAAATTGGAAATATAGGATAAATATATGCTATTTTGTACAACGGCCACACAGTATTTGAAAACTTTTCCTTCTGGTTAAGCCACAGCAAAAAGCCCAGCTCTCAAAGGATGACAAGTCGTAAGTCCTCTGTCCCTTTTGCTCCTTCCCACCACCACCTCCAAGGCCTGCTAAATTTCAAACATGGCTTCAGAGAGAAGCTGCCTCATCCTTTACAGTATTTCTGGGAGCTGAGGAGAGCACAAGGCAATATTATAAACAGGACGTGTTGAGCCAATTGTCTGCAGGAGAACTGAGCAGGTGGTTGTATTGCTGTCCAGCTGTGGCTTAGAAAATCCTTCACTTCTGAGCTGGATGGGTTGCCTGGGATGGTTGATGTCAGGGATGCGGGATGGGTTGTCCAGGATACCGGTTGATGTCAGGGATGCAGGATGGGCTGTCCCGGCATGACGGGTGATGTTAGGGATGCGGGATGGGCTGTCCCGGGATGACAGGTGATGTCAGGGATGCAGGATGGGCTGTCCCGGGATGACGGGTGATGTCAGGGATGCAGGATGGGCTGTCCCGGGATGACGGGTGATGTTAGGGATGCGGGATGGGCTGTCCCGGGATGACGGAGGGTGCGGACCCGCCCCCTGGGCGTGCCCGGGCGATTCCCGGCCGCCGTTCCCTGCCCGCGCCGCTGTTGCAGGAAGCGGGGGAGCGGCGGGGCAGTGCCGGCGCGGCGATCCCGGCGTCCCGGCGCTCCGGCGGCGGCTCCCGGGGAATTCCCGCGGGGAGCGGCGCTGGCGGCGGGGCCGGGCGGGCTCCCGGGCGGGCCGTGCCGCGGAGCCGCCTCCGCGGGCGGCCTGACATGAGCTCATCGGCGGCGGCATGGCCTGCGCCCGGAGGGACGGGGAGGCGGACGGCGAGCCCGACCGCTCCCTGCGGCACATGCTGCGGGCGATAGCGGAGGAGCGGAGCCGCGCCGGGCTCCGCCACGACATCAGCGGCCTCGGTGAGTCGGGCGGGGCCGGGACGGCACCCCCGGGGCAGCGGCAGCGCCGCTCGGCCCCCGCACCGTGCGGGGGTGCCGGCAGCGGGACCTGTTGTGTGCGGGGCGCGGGCGGGGACCCGCCTGCCCCCCCAGCCCCCGGGAGCCTGCCGGGCTCCCTCCCGGCTCCATTGTCTGAAATGCCCTTGGAGGAATATGGGCAGGAGGCACCGCGCGCATCAGCCCATATGGTGGGTTTTAAGTGTAAAACTGCGCATCGCGTGTTTTGGGATGCGGACAGAACCGATTCTTGGTGCCTCTCGCCGGTGCTCTCTCCCTTGTACGGCGCTCAGACGCTCTCTGGAGGTTCTGAGCCTGACGCCTCCCTTCTCTGAGTAAATGACTTCACGCCGCTTGCCGTGGTCTAGTAAGCACAGAATGCTATGGCTTTTGCTGGTCACTTCATTTTATAAATCGTGGAGGTTTTATTTACCGTCTTGTTTATTTACATCTGGTCCATGTATATTTATCGATGTACATGTCACATGGCGTGGCTTTATTTGGCTTTTGGCAAGGCTCGTGCGCTGTAAAATAGAAGTTTAAGGTTGAAATTCAGTCCACTTTTGTTACACCAGCTCATCAGCCAAAACACTTTGCATTAGGAAACTCTTCTGGCCAGGGTAATGAATAGAAAGTACTCATTTTTATGTGCAGCAGTAGAGATTATAGAAATCATTCCTCACATCCAGAACTTCTGTCTACCTTATTCAAAACTATTGTATATCTCGAAGTGGACCTGTGCTTTAAAAGGGTGGATGCCCAGAAGTCCTTGCATGATGAACATTGACGTGCAGCACTTCTCTTGTTTCTTCCATGGGGCCTTTATTAATGGCTTCTCCCTCCTCAGCTCGTTTATAAGGCCCCAAAAGTCTCCTCTGTTTCCGAGACTTTGTTAAAAGCTCAGAATAAGTTTTTATTAAGGTTTTACTGGCTGTGGGATGTGGATTGGCATGGGAAATCTCTGGTTTTGTGCCTGACCTTTATGCAGTGTTGTCTGCCAGTGCTTGCTGTGGTCTCTCTGGGGAGGAATGGGCTCTCCGTTCTTTCCTTTTGCTTTGCCACAGAGCCAAAGCTTGTGTGGACAAGAGAAATGATCCTTCGTTCTTTTTGTGCTTTTTTCTAATGGAATTGGGTCTGCTTTAGTGTGATGTCAAAACATTACAGAGCCAAATAAAGTGTTATGGCAAAGAAATTGTAAACGAAATAGGCGAAAAAGCCCATAAAGTCAAAATACCTGTGAGAATGCATTCATTGGAAGGGTGGTGTTGGGGCATGTGTGGCCATATCACATCTGAATGGAAGCAAAGATTCCTGGGAGCAGGAAAATCACAATCACTTTCTTTTACTGAAATTGGAAAAGGCAAAAACTGTGGTGCCTGGTAAGACTCTACAAATACTCCCTTCTCTGCTTGTTTCAACACACATCCATAACAGCCCGTAGCGAGGAGTCCTGCTATGTAACTTTGGGATGATCACACAAGGAATAGGACAGTGCTGTACTTCTCTTCTACCAGGTGAAGACTTGAAAGGCTCAGGAGAACTGCCTCGGTCGTGGCACTGAGGGGCTGGTCCTGGCTGTGGGGATGAGCCTGCGTGTCTGTCCATGTGTGGAGATGAGCATTCTGTGGTGTGCTGCATTCCCTGATCTCCATTACTGCCACTCCCAGGCAACGGGAGCTCTTTGCCCCGTACTGTGATTTATTACTGGGGTACTAAAGAGTTTAAATACCTCTTTGAGGGAAAACACTGAGCTTTTGGAGTGGTGCTCAGTAGGAACTGTACATGAACAGAAGGTTCGGGTGTAATTCTGTGGCTTAAATTAGTGCATGTCTGCTCTGCACTAGGGAATGCTGTTGCAGGTGAAACCTGTTGTTAGTTTTTTTCAGAGTTGCCTTCAAATCAGCTGTCAAAGACTCCCATGGTGGCTTTTCCCTGAGTGCTGTTAACCCCTCAAGGATAAAATGAGACTGTCTCTCTCTCTCTCCTTTTATGTATTTCCTTTAAGTGAGCCCCAGTGAAGAAGGAAGTTGCTGGTTTTGCTGACACTGGGTTTGGGTGAGAGGATTTGCTCTGTTTCAGGAATAGCACATAAGCATTTGGACAGGCCTTGTCCAGAAATGTGAATCCCCTTGCATGGGATCTTCTGTAATGTCCTGTTTGTATAATGTGGAAAATGCAGCCAGTCTGACACTGTGCTTCAAATTCATGACTCATGTGTGACTCCTCACCAGGCTGGGAGGGGTGATGTCTCTCAGTCTGCTGGATATTGGTGTCACCAACTGGACAGAGCACTGCCCTGGTGCTGTGCACTGAGTGCTCCCTGTGAAATGCCATTGGTTACAACATTTCTCTGGCAAAACATTTCCCCTCGGGGACACGCTGTGTCTCCTCAGCCAGGCTGTGTGTAAAGCTCTTTTTGGCCAAAGACCTGAACTGGAAGGATTTTATTTTTGGCTGTTCCTGAGACTACTGTGTAATGTTGTCAGATGCTTAATTTTCTTGTGTCCTTCTGTCCTCCAGTGACAAATTGCCCTGCTTTTAGTGCAACAGAGTGTGTCTGGGGGGGAGGTGTGACTGTATTCATACTGGAGCTGAGAATGAGTAAGAAAATGGAATAGGTAGATCTGAACAATTGCTTGAGCTGTGGCTGGTCAGGAATGGAGATGTGTAGCCAGGCAAAGGATGAAGAAATAATAGAGATCCTGAAAAGCAGGTGGCTGCCCTTAAAACAGCTGAAAACTGGTGCTGCCAGGCACTGAGGTGTATAATAGGAACCTGTCCCAGGTGCCCCTGGAGAGGCCCAACACTCTCGTCAGTCATGAAGTGTTCCCTCTGTTTGGTTTTCTGGGACTTGAGCGATTCCTGAGGACAGGAGGGTGGAGGAGGGTGTGCTTGGCGTGGGGGCAGCAGGAGGGGGAACGTTCATCCTCGGATGCCTGGACTTGTTTGTGCAGCAGTGCACAAACCTCGGGGCTTGTCATGTGAGAGGAGACCGTGGGATGATTCATGGGCCACACTACCTTGATGAATAACTCCTGGAAGGAATTCTCCAGCCTTCCTGAGAGAAGGGAGGGTGAGGTGGCACACAGTAAGTGCTCGTGCCTCTGAGTGTGGTGAAAACATGGTGGAAACATAACATGGGAAAATGTGGGTAGAACGATGAACGGTGGAAGAAGTTTTGGGAAAGCAGAAGAGGTTAAAATGAAGAATTAAAAAGAAGAATTAATAATTTGGGTTTGAAAGTACTACATTCAGGCCTTAAGTCGTATTGTAGTGTGGTAACTCTTAATTAAATTATAATGTCAAAGAAGAGATCTATTTGCTTCTGTAACTTTGAATAAAGTGTAGCCACAGAGTAGGTGGAGGTGCCTGCAGAGAATTTGCTGCAGCACAGAACTGGTTTGACAGGAGTCACTTTCTTGCAGACACAAAATATTCTTCATTCATGGTTCTTCCTGGAATTATTTCAGGGAGTTGTGCAGTCAAAGGTGAGAAGCTACAAAAGCTGGGAAGCTTTGTTTTCTTTTGATGTATGGATAACAAGAACATATGAAAATCACATCTTCCTAACAAACACTTGAGGGACACGTACAACCAAATCCACCAACTACAGATAATGTCCCCTGGAGTGAGTTAATTTCATTTAGAAGAGTTGGATTTCAGTTTAAAATACAGTTTTTATTACTTGTACCTTAATGTTTGTACCAGGTTTTTTGCCCTGTTTATAAAGTGTTTTGCAACTAATGAATATGAAATGTTCACTAAAAAATGAGTAGTCCAATACTGAAGAGAAAAAAGAAAGATACCAGGCTAAGTAACTTATAAACAGTAAAATAAAAAAGTGTTTATAGAGTAGCCTCCTAATAGGCTAAAAAAAAAAATCACAATGTTCCAGCCAGGAAGACTCTGTATTTCTTTTCAGGAAAACTTCTGGAAAGTACAAATGCAAAGCAAGATCAGAACAGATTATTTAAATCAGATTTAAAGTAGGTACTTTGAAGTCAGAGTGATTTACCCAGCTCACCCTGGGTGTTGAACCTCAGATTTGTGTGGGAGAAAGATGATTTTATTTTTTTGCCTGGCATAGAGAACTGTCTGAGAGAGATTTGTGAGATCAAGGATACCCATAGACATTTGATGTGTAGTTCAGTGCTTGGATGGGGTGGTGTAGGAGAAACCACGGGTGGAGCAGATTCTGGGACCCAGTGGGTTTGGCCATGGGATGGGAATGTGTTTGTGCTTGTCCACCTGCCCCGTGTGCTGGAGCAGTGGGGTAAGGGATCTGTCCTGCTTCCTATCCCAGCAAAGCACAGGGCTCTGTGCCCTGGCATCCCGTCCTGTCACTCCTACAGTCAAGCACAGGATGTTTCAGAGTGTCCATGTAGGATCAGATCATGGAGAATGGCAGTCTGGGGTCAGCTCTAAGGCTGCAACCCTCCAGGGTAAACACCTTTTTTATGGTGGTTCATATAAAATTCTGTTTTGGTTGTTCCTTAGAACCTTGTTCATGCTGATGTCACTAATGGTCTGTCGGGCTTTCCATCACTCACCAGTGATGGAACCCTGTTTCCACGGGATTTGTCACTAGGCTGTGAAGGTTTAGCTTCTGTCAGGAGCGTGACAGACATTTAATAATGATCAATAGCATAATGGACTCTTTGTTACAGCTTTTACCTATTTTTTGAGCTGTTGAGTTATTAGTTTGTTTTAATAGAGATGAAGCTTTATGGGATTTTTCAGGTCCTGCTCAGGAGTGTACAGGTTCAAATTGTGAGTCAGACTGGAGGTGCTGAAGGAGGCAAGATTATTTACATGCTAGCAGAAGTGCTGGATACCCAGTTTTTTGAAAATTAGTCTCTCTGGGTGGAATTAGGAATCTGTAAGCCTGACAGTGGGAACAGTCCATGTGTTTGGAAACACTCATCTCTTATGCACATAATACTGTAGTTCCAGTTGCTGCCTTA